ATCACAAAATATGCAGTTTTTCTTATTATGTTCTAATATTTTCAGGAAAGTAAAATGATTATGTGATCATATAACAAACATGCATGATTATAATTTGTTGTTAGATGGTTCAAATAGACTAAATTCCTGCTTATTTTATTTATTCCTGTCAGCTAACTAAAACACGTCCCAAATGAATGAAGTAGAAAAAAGACATATGTTTAAATTCTAAACAAAATGTAATTTATGTTTCCATTTTTGATACTCCCCTAAAATTCAGGGTGCAGAAGAAATATAAGCTACTATGGAATCATGAAAAACAGGCTCATAATATAAAACAAAATTGTATTTTTTAAAAAGTACTTTTAACTGGCTAACTTAATCAGTTCAAGGCAGATATTAATAAGAAAAACTAACCAATGAGAAAGAAAACCTCTTTGACTGAATTATGAAATGAACCAAGTCTACACAGTTGCCTTCAAAAGACATTCTTTTAGTGTGTGTTATAGTCAGACAGTAAGAAAGCACAAAGCTGAATGACTGGACACCATTTTGTTCTTAATACAATAGGTTCTGAGTCCTGGGCTGAATTTTGAAAACTCCTAAGGCATAAATAAAATCTTAAGAAACACCACTGACATTTAACGATCCGCTGGATCACAATACATGCATTGTTAAAGTGGATCATATTTGATATTTACTTAAAAGATGATAGCAAAGGACTTTGCTTTGATAGAACTGCTCAATTCAGTATATTCACAGCTATCTGATAATGACCCAGATACTTCCAGGGATTATATCAAACAATTTTGATTGCTGTCCTCAGCCAATAGTTCCTGTCTGCCCACTCCTATACAAGGGAGGGCAAAATTTATTAGAAGCTTCCATAACTTCTAAAAAAATCTAGTAATCAAGACATAAGATTAGAATAAATAATAGTTCTATATACTATTCATTTTATCTGCTTGTCTTTTTTTTTTTTCCTCCTCCTTCTTTTTGCTGCTTGTCTAGTTTGGTCTCTTCCTGCATCAAGTGTGGACGTTATGCACTGTGGACTTCAATAGAAATTCTACTACCTATATACATGTTTCTATATATCCATAGGATACATACACATAGTTTTTCATGATAAAAGTAATGTACGTTCACTAGAAAAAGAAACAGTATAGGAGGTAGAGTGTTATTCAATACCGAGACATAACTACAGTTAACATATTGAATATAATTTCTCATGAATATACATGCACTTCTCTATCATCTCTCTCTAGGTTATCTAAACTTTATGAAATAAAAAATACCATTCCTATAGTTATGACATCCTTTTAGTTTACATAGTACACGTTTTCTCGTCAATCGATGCAGATCTGATATCCCAGACTTGACACAGTTATTCTCTGATGAACACCTCGTTCAGTTTTTGGACCATGGGGTTAGTCTCTCAGCCTCGGCACTCACCTGAGGGTCAGGAACGGGTACGCGGGCCAGAAGGTGAAGAGGCAGGGAGACCAGGGACGGCGGCTAAGGTGCTGGCGGCACAGCAGCTGTGGCACCGCGCGAGGCGGTGCTCTTCCCCATCCCCGGCTCTCTTCGCCTTTACCCGGAGTGCCCAACCCCATTTTGGCTACAGCGGATAGACAGGAAAAGTCTGAAGTCACCACGCTGGATAACGCGCTTCGTGGGGCACCCCCAAACAAGTTTGGATAATTCTGTACGGTAGGAATTCTTATTAACTTAGAATCGAGACATGAGGCAAAGTACCTGGGTGGAAAAATTGGCGTTTTCGCCTACGGATGGATTTGAGCCCAGGTGAAATTCGGCTTACCTCAGAAAGCACGGGCTCTTCCAGGTGCCCGCCAGGCGGCGGGAGCACCGCGCGCACCGCGTCCGCTGAGGGTAAAGGCCCGCACGCGGCGGGCTGCCCGGCGAGGTCCCGCACGCAGGCCCGGGAAGAAGACACCGAGACGGCGCCAACACCTCTCTGGTTTGAGCTGGAGAACCGCCAATGGCGGCCTGACCCGGAACCGCTTCTCCCCGAGGTGACCCCTGAGGCTGCTTGCCCGGAAAACCCACTTGGTTTCCACTATTTCGGCGCCACAGAAACACAGCGAAGACCTATATGGAGTACTTCATTCCTGCCTGAGAAACGACTACGCGCCCCACCGCGTGGTGCTGGCTGGGGCGGGTTGGAGCATGTGCACCTGGTAGAATGTGCCAGAAAGTGCCTCCCGGGGAACCGACCCGCCTGGGCGTGTGAGAAGGCTGAGAGTACAGATCCGGTATTACAGTGCACGGCGGAAGGCTGCCAGGCGGAAGACGACTGGTCCCGTGGCAGCCCGCGCCCTGCCGGCTTCCCGGAGCTCACGCACTGTCAGGATAGGACTGGAGAGCTGTGCCTTCTCGGAGGAAGATTCATCCCCTGCGCGTGCTGAACTGGTTGGCAGGCTGCGGCTCCTTCGGGCAAGGGCATGTTTCCCAGGCTACCTCAGCGAGCTCAGCAGGCACCGCTGGACGTCCGGCACAGCCCCCACCGCCACGGCTAAGGCGACACGGGCCTCCTGTGCGTCCACGCCAACGCCAACCCTGGCCAGGTTCTAGAAAGGCTGGAAATGATCACCAAGAAATTAATTGTAATGGCTGGGACTGTGGGGTGTGGTGGAGCTGCAGGGAACGAAGACAGCCGATGTCCATGCTCATGCCGACCCTGGAGTCCAGGAAGTAGGGAGGCAGGTGCTGGCTACCCGTTCCAGAAAGCTGCCCCAGGAGCTATGCACATTCATCTGCCCCAGGAGCGGAAGCCAAAAGACATCCAGAGAGTTGCTTCTAAAATGCTCCACAACAGGTCATGATCTCAGTTAGTGGGTGGATCCCGCTCTCTCTCTCTAAATAAATATTTAAAATGGTCCACTGGAAGCCTGCCTTTGACTGAGCAGCCAGCTCTTGAGCCCTCAGCCCGCTTTGTGGAGTAGATGGGGGAAGGGGACTGCGCGGGTCTGGGCTCTTCCGGTAGAGGCCCTCTGAGATCCCACCCAGGCCAGGAGTTGTGGACAGAGCCATGTTCACGCACGTTTTTTGGATGTGAATTTAATGCCAAATTTAATAAATGGTGCCAAGGGTGGGACTCGTCTCTTACAGTGGAACACATTTAATACCACCAAACACAGCTCAGTTTTCTTCCCTCAGAATTGGATATGCCACTCAGAGGAATAAAGGTTTACCTTCACGTTTGCAGCTAGAAGTAGGGTGAAGTGCAGGAAGGTTAAATGCAGCCTGCTGTAGGAAAACTGGGTCAGTGTTCTTACCTCTGTCCTGTGTTCCCTGAGATTAGCAGTCCAGGAATTAGCACCAGACTGTCCCTTCACAGAGGGCTGTCAGCTCTGCCAGCCTCCAGTGGTCCCAGGGCTAGACAAGGGAACGTGGTCTGTTTCACAGAGTGTTTTCCTCAGCTCAGTCTTTTCCTTCACCCTCAGTTAAGGCCTCAGAGGCCTGTCTTAACGGTCCATGTTCCTAAAACAGAGAAGGCTCAAAGTGGGTGAGACACACCTTTGTCCCTGAGAGTCCTCCAGTTGTGACCCAATATTGTGAAGCCTCTTGTCTTTTTTTAAAATTTAATTTAATTTAATTTTAGAGAAATAGAGTACAAATGGGGGAGGGGCATGATAGGATGGGGGACAGAGGTTCTGTGCTGACAGCAGCCAGACCATGTGGGGCTTGAACACATTAACTATGAGATCATGATCTGAGCCAAAGTCAGTTGCTCAACCTTCTGAGCCACCCAGGTGCCCTGCCCCTTGCCTTTGTAAGATGCCTTCCAATCGCAGATGTGTCAAAATGCATGGGGCAGGGTTTCTTACAATTGATGACTGTGGTAACAGCAAAGCCTGTGAACATTTAATTTTTAAATTTTTTCTTAAATGTTTATTTTTGGAGAGAGAGAGAGATAACATGCACAAGGGAGGGCAGAGAGAGAGGGAGACACAAAATTGGAAGCAAAGCCTGTGAACATTTTAAAAGGTGGGAGACCAAGGAGCTCTAGGTCTAGATGTTTAAGGAGTCAAAGTCAGATGACTTTTTAAATATAGGATAGCTTTGGGGTTCTCAAAATTGAACAACCTCCCCCCTCAGGGTCCCATGTGGGAACCCACACTGACCACCCCAATAGTTGCAATGCTGTGGTTGTCCCTGGCACATAGCAGTCAGGGGATTGCACAACATCTGGCTGCAGTTTGATTTAAGAAAAGAGTTTCCTAGTCCTCTTTTTTGAAATGTTGAGAAACGCCCCTACAGTATAGATCAGAGATGGAGGATCTATATGTTTTAAGGAAGTCAAATTAACATTTAACCATTAAACAAAGTCAAGATCCATGTAAAGTAGATGGGGAGGTACAGATCAAACACAGAAGGTCCTCCTGTGTGAGCATCTCTTCCTTCTCTCTCCACTTCTCATTTTTGTTTTTATACAGACAGAGTTTGTACAATTTTCCCTAGCATTGTCATAAGAAATATTTCTGACAAAGTAAATGATTCTTTCCAGGGGCATATAGAGAAGTGGGTGCTGGCTTTCTCAGAGTCAGAGTGATTGGGCAGAGTGGAAAAGGAATTTCGTTCAGCTTAGCGGCAAACTTGGGAAACTTGACAAGCTACAGTGAGTAGACAGTGGCAGCAAAATCCATGGAGGGAGCTGTTTCTCCCTTAGCACTGTAAGGTTGGTGACACCAACTGTTGGTTCAAGTGCTATTTCCCTGGTTTCCTTTCTGGATTTCCAGAAGGCAGGCTATTTGGAATTTCAAGAGAGGCACCTTTTTTTTTTTTTTTTTTTTTTTTAACTGCCTTTTTTAAAGCTTTAGGAGAAGGTTATCTCAGAAGGAAACCACCTCCTCTGTCTCCTTTTCCCTAAGCCACAGATGTTATATAAATAAAAGGTGATTTTTAGATTATTTTTTATCATATTGTTGGAAATGTTACTATGCATGTTATAAATAAGAAATCACCTTTCTAATAAATTATATCTACTTCTCCTACAGAAACAGATGACAAGAGGGTGACCAACACACAAGCTGAAGTAAGTTTTCTTATATTTTGTGCAAACAGGTGTTCGATTAAAGACATAATTAGTTTGGTTTGATGTTATACAAATTATATCAGTATAACTGATGTAAAAACTAGTTTGCTTTCCTGACTGAAGAAACAATAAAATGGGGTCGTTAAATCTATGCCACTATGCTACTTTGGTTCTCAACTTATGAAATGCCAACCCCTGAAAAAAACTTGTAAAACAAATCACTGCTTTTAGTAGAAAGATATGGTATCAGTATTTTCAATTTAGTGACTCATTTATGACCACCGATAGGCTAGGGTCAGCCAATGTTGGAATCCCGGAGCAAGAAGATGGGGAGCGGACACCTCTTAAAGTTTCTTCTGGTGTGTGAAGCATATCCTGAGGTCAGAGGTTCACATACTCATGTAGGAGTTCAGATGGTAAATAGGAACCAGGGGAGGCTAGGGATCTTCTAATATAAAACATATGGAATATAAGAAAGTAAGTAAACTTGTACTCAGAAATAGAACAAGGATTGACTGTTATGCAAACATACTAGTCAACTCTCAGTGCTGCATTAGGCATATGCAATACCCAGAGGAAAATGTAGAAAGATCAAAATACCAAATAATATCTCTTAAGACTTTTATAAATGTTTAAAGAGATTGTAAATGTGAACTTTGACAGCTGAAATCTTCCATAAATAATAAAGCATTTTTATTACTTAATAAGTTTTACTACATGTTACAAAACAAAATTTTCTGTAAGATTAATTTTCTACTTGATCTTTGGATATATGCAGGGAAATTAATATATAAGAAATACCAAAAGTGACTGCTTCTTGAAATCAACCAGACAAGACTGAATACAGTAAAGGAACACCAGAACTATCTGTGTTTAAACTACATGTTTAACATTAACGTAGAGTCCCTCTGCCTGCTCCTGTGCATAATGAACTGGTACTGAAATGTTCTATTCTGGAAAAATGTGCTTGTACCATTTGCTTGGTTGATATGGATTTGGCAATATTTGGTTGAATTTTTTTACTTTTTAATATATTGTTTTTGCATCAAGTGTCTACCTCTTGATGATACTTTTGAGGGTAATTAAGCTTTAGAATGTACAAGGAAAAATACCTCAAGTTCTCTTACTGTTCAATGATACAGTTTCTAGTTTTTTTCGGACTCTGTCTGTTATGTTCTTTCTAAGACACATGAAAGCCTAGAATGATCCCCAAAAAGCATGTTGTAACTATTTATACCTGACCTTTCCAAAGTGAAAATAATTGTTCTACACACTAAAACTCATGGATTAAGACCCCTACTTTTGCCACATTGAAACATAAATATACAGTTAAAAGTGAATCTTTGACATAATCTGCTTGGGGTATAGACAACATATATGTAATTTATCGTAATAAATAATATATTCATATATAAGGATTGTTTAATTTATATATCCTCATATATACATAAATAGTTTGTGGTTTTCAGACCACCATTTCAGAAACCCTGAAATATGTTTCTGTGTTCCAATTTTTATAGTTTTAATGCAGAAATTCTCTGCAATAATTCAGTCCTGGTCTAGTGTGCATAGGTAAGAGTGTTAAATAGCAGTTTTGTTAGGAAGGGACTTATTTATCTTTAAAAATAGAAGAGAGTATTATCTCAACATTGTAATTCCAAGTAAATGGAGATGTTGGATTGAACATTTATAAACAGAGGTTTATAAATAGGTATTACTTACCAACGACCATCATTATATATCCAAAACCACTCAAAAATCCTATGAGTGGTATAGTTATCGCATGGACATAGCTTTTGGAGTATACTTTGTCCTGGCACTTACATTTTTTCTTGCAAACAAAAAGGATTGGTGTCTCTTTTTTCTGTTTCTTTTTAAAGTAAACAAACATTAGTAAGAGAGAAAATAAAAGGAGTAATTTCACGACTGCAATGGATGAAGAGTTTTATGATAAAATAGCTTCATATATCTCTTAAAACTGTGCTATCAATGAACATGTATATAATTTCTCATTGATTTGCATTGTATTTCATGACAGGGAATCAGAAAGCTCTTTGAAATATGGCAGTGTATTTCCCTCACAGGGCTAATTTTTCTTCAAATAAGCCTTTTCCTTTTTTCTTTTTATCCACAGTCACAAAATGCATCCCCTAAGCAAAGGAAGCAGAGCGTGTACACACCACCGGCCATGAAAGGTACTGTTCAGGTACTGTTTCGGGTTGCTGTGAATGTGGAGTTCATGGCTGGTATGCTATCTGTTCTAAGACCATATGCTTGATTATAAGCTTGATCTGGTCTCAGCTCTATAACTTGGTAATGTTACTTTCAATAAGATACTTTATCCTTTTAAAACTTACTTTCATGAAGAGTAAAACAGGTAGCTGAAGAAGGAATAATAGACATGTCTCTGAATTTCAGTCTGGAAATTCACGTTTTCCAAAATAATAACAAAGACTTTTCTTTTTCCCTTCCTTACATATTTTCTTTGAAGGGATCTTTCCAGAAACCCTAATTACTCTTGCCAATGTTGCCAGATGATTGCCATTTTTTTTCTAGGCTTATGCAAAGTAAAATAACTTGAATTGGGGGCACAGTTAATGTAAAGTGTTGCCTCATTGCCTTGTGTCAAGAGCAGCTCTGAGAAACGCAATCAAACAGCTATTAGCTGTACATGTAACAGCTGTTCAAATAATAACTAAAAATGCTAGCTCAGATCCTGGCATTTCCCCAGATTTCTCCCCAAAATTGGAACTGCTAAAAGAACATCTAAGTGTATCAAAATTTTGACTGACATCAGTTCCAGGGAAGACTTCTTTTATTTCTCACACAAGAATGTTCCTGACATGAAGCAGAGTGCTCAGTCCAGTAGCTCCCGCTCCAGTCTGTCACCTGGGCCATTGGCCCAGTGGCTCATCAAGCTCAGTTTCAACTACAGGAGAGGCCAGCTGGGCAGCTTCCTCTGGAGTCTGGAGAGATGTCTAAATTGGGAGTGAAATTTTCCACTCTGTATTCTCTCTAGATTTGAGGCTTTTTCAAGGAAGTGGAATATAAATGGACACATTAATCGCTACTCTCAGTAAACTTCCTTCCTGCACAGCTATAAAACCCCGTGTTTGTTTGTTTGTAAGACTGCAGTAAATAACACAATCATCAGCACTGTAGTTTATCCCAGGGTAATTACTGAGACTATCTGGCTTCCCTCTCTGATGACAAATATGATCATTGGAAGGTATATTTCCTATTGTAAGTCATCTTGTATTTTTAATGCACATCAGTTTTGGCATGAATGGGCAAAGTAAATAATATATGTTCACTTGTTTAATGATTTCCTCTGTTCTATTTTAGGTTGGCTTAACTAAATAAAGTAATACTGTTCTTGTGTCCTCAGAGAATAATAGTATTATTTTTAAAGGAAATTCTTAAAATCAAAGTCCCAAGGGCTTTCATTATATTTAGCTCTTAAATATCATAAGAATGTGGGATCCTAACATTTAGGGAAGTTAGTCATTTTGCACATTTTCACAAGCAACCTTCCTACTGTTGGATCTCTCCAAGATGGCTATTCAGTAACAGTCATTTTGGTCATGAGTTAAAGCCTTGAGAAAGCACAGTAATTCTTTCAAGAGGATACTAGGGTTTTATTATAAGCCACTTAGGTCCTCATTTATAACCAGTAAATACCTAGGTATATCTCCTGCTTCTGATAAAAAAAATAGAGAGAGAGAGAGAGAAAGCTAAATCCACATGTTTTATTCAGTCTACCTGTCCCCAAGAGCTAGAAATGAATATTTCAAGACAGAATTAAGCTATGATAACATATGGTGCATTGTGAGCACATTAAGAAGCTTCAATCCTAAGAAAGATGAATTAGCAAAGGAAATGTTATTGAGATGCTAAATACAATAATACAATTGCTTTGAAATGTGTAATTCTTCAAATTGCAGTGGAACATGATTATCCATTATTGAGTATAAAAAAAAGTTTGCTGAGAGAGCAAAGCAGCAACAGATGTGATTAATAGTTCTGAAAAAATTACACTGACAAAAAGGCCAACTAGGACTTCATGAAGGACCTAGCAAATAACTGGTTAGTGAAACAAAACAAAATACAACAAAACCAACACAAACTAGCCAGACTCCTTCCTTCTCCCTTTCCTTTACTCGGTTATGAGGAGTTGCCAGTTACAGAGGTCAAAGTAGCAAGAGGGAAAAGACGCTACATCCCACCTATAGTTTTTGATTAATGCATGGACAGACTGGTCTCCAGCTCTTAAGTGCATTTAGTTTTTCCTCTTTCGGTAACAGTGGTACTTCTGTCTCCACCAAGTTTCAGGAAACAGAGACATGTTCAGGTTATCTCTTGTGATGAGGGTTTTATATGACGGTATGTGGATAAGAAATAGAGCAGAGGAAACCATTTTAATAGTCATGCTGTTAAGACAGATATCCTGGTGACTTCCAAATCTATATCTGCAATCCTAACATACCTCCTGAACTTCAGATTCCCAATTCCAATTACCTTCCGATTTTTTCTCCCTGATTGTTTTTAGGCTTCTCAAATTTAGTATGTCCAAAGCAAAACTCTTTAGCTTTTTTCTGGTTTTTCCTATACTAATAAATTATATTCAGCTATTGAGAACAAAAGCCTTCATGTAATCCGTGACTTCTCTTCCTTACCCAGTCCACTGTCTGTTCTTGTTGGCTCTAATTTCAAAGTGCACCCCTTAATGTGAATACTGCCCACATCTTCCACTGCTACTATCTTATGCAAGTAACCATTCTTCCTTGCCTGGGCTGCTGGAGTCTCTTTCTGGTCTCCCTGCTTCTGCTCTTACCTCTCTCTACAATCTAGTGCTCACCCAGATACCATAGTAATTCCTCTGACTCACAGATAAGGTCATACCGTCCTCTTGATCAAGATCTTTAATGGCTTCCTATCACATTCAGAATAAAATTAAAAATCCAAAGAAGTCCCTAAGGGCACTGCACCCAGCCTTTCTCTTTGACCTCATCTCCTTTCACGCTGCCCCATTTCAATGAGACCCAGCCTCATGGACTTGTTCACTGTTTTTAAACACGCCAAACAGATTTCCATTCTAGAGCATTTGTCCTTCCTATTTTGTCTGCCTGGAATACTCTTTGTCCAGTGGCCTCACAAATACCTCAGCTAATGTTACCTCCTCAGAGACCTTCCTTCCCTGGTACTAACCCCTCCATATCACTGTCTATGTCTTTACACACTGCCTTATTTTTTCCATAGCACTTAACATGAAGGAGTGTCCATGATACGTTTTGTTCATTTGAGTGTCCCCAGCTCCTAGAACAGTGCCTGACACATATTAGTTGCTTCATTAGTACTAGATCAATAAATGAACTATAATGAACTGGGGAATCCGGTCACACTCTCATTTGCTCAGAAGAGGATGTCTCGTAAGCCTAGTTCTACTAATTTTCATACGTGTATTGTGTATTCTGCTTATGTTTCTCTTTGCCTCTTTCTTTGCTAGATTCTCTCTTAAGTCTGTGTTCCTTCTTGTGTTCCTACTTATCCATATGTTTCTGTTTTACTAGTTTTACTTTTTCCCACTCCCATCCCCTCTGGTCAAAGAGAAACATATAATTTGGTACATTAATTACCATCCAAAATGATGTATCGGTTGGGCTGGCTTCTTAAGAAAGGTCATCTCAAGGACCACCAAAACCATTAGGTGGTGCCTGGATCAATAGTTTTTGGTCAGGGTGGCAGCATCATATGATATATATATATATGGTAATGTAATAGAAGAGTCTGGATATGGCTCTCTTCCTTCAGGGGTGTTTCATGGTTCGTTCAGCACATTTACTCTTAGAATATAATAATAGATTTAGTACTGGGTCTGGCTGTTTTTCTATTCATAATATTATTGGCATTCAGTGTGTTCAAGGAGCTTAAAGGTTAACTAGTGCAACTATCCAGTGATGATTGAATTTTTTCCACTGCATCTAACCTCAGGGTATTACATTGGCTGTGTTCTCTTGAGGATTTTAGTATATTAAGCCTGAGGTAAAGCCAGATAATCAAAAGTTCCAAGTGATTCTGCTACAGCAAGTCTAAAGATTGACCAGACTAAAATATTCAATCACCTACCTAACATGTCTCATGGAGATCAAAGAGATAATGAGATCCAAATTAATATGTTCAAGACTGATCTTTGAATTTCCTCAAAACCAGATCAGTTTGTCCTGCACTATTTCCCTTCTTAGCAAGTGGAATATCCATCTGCCTAGCTGCATATTGCTGAGTTCTGAGAGCCTCCAGTGAACCTCTCTCTTTCTTTCACTCTCTTCAGAAATAGAACATCAGGTTTCATTGATTTCGCTCTATCAGTATCTCTTGTCTCTCTCACCTTCTGTCTTATCTTCAATGTCATCATCATATCTCAAATCACAAGCATGTCTTTGCCAGGATATATAGGCATACTTCAAAGATACTCTAAATCACTGCAATAAGGTGAATCAAATGATTTTTTTAGTTTCCCAGTGCATACAAAAGTTATGTTTACACTGTACTGAAGTCCATTAAGTGTGCAATAGCATTATGTCTAAAAAATAATGTATATGCCTTCATTTTAAAATACTTTAAAAACTGCTAACCATCATTGGCGTTTTCAGCAAGCCATAATCGTTTTTGCTGGTGGAGGGTCCTGCCTCCATGCTGATGGCTGCTGATTGATCAGGGTGGTGGTTGCTGAAGGCTGGGGTAGCTGTGGCAACTTCTTAAAGTAAGACAACAGGGAAGTTTGCCACATAAATGGACTTTCCCTTTTATAAATGATTTCTCTACAGCATGTGGTGCCGTTTGAAGGCATTTAACCCACAGTACAACTTCTTTCAAACTTGAAGTCAGTCCTTTCTAAGCCTGCCAGTGCTTTATCAACTAAGTTTATGTAGTACTCTAAATCCAATGTTGTGATTTCAGCAATCTTCATATCATCTTTACCAGGAGTGGATTCCATCTCATGAAACCACTTTCTTTGCTCATAAGAAGCAACTCTTCATTTTTCAAAGTTCCATCATGAGACTGGAGCAAGTCAGTCATATCTTCAGGCTCCATTTCTAATTCTAGTTCTCTATTTCTACCCCATCTGCAGCTGTTTCCTTCACTGAAGTCTTGAACCCCTCAAAGTCATCCATGAGGGTTGGAATCAACTTCTTCC